TATATATAATCTTTTCTCATCTACCTTTGGCTTCATGGTGACTAAATTGTGGCAAAACTAAATTAGATTATGGAATATATTCATTCAGCTTAGAAAATTGACATGAAAATAATGAACTACAAAAAGAAACCTTTGGTTGGAGGTGAAGCTCGGTTGGCAGGATGTTTGCCTAGCATGCATAAAGCCCTGGGTTCTATCCCAGACACCACATAAACTGGCCATGGTACATGCCTGTAACCCCAGCACTCAGGAGATGGAGGCAGGAGGAGCCAAAGTTTAAGGTCATCCTCAGCTACATAGTTTGAGACTGGCCTGGACTACATGATACCCTGTCTCAAGAAAGAAAGAGAAAACTCTTTGGTAGTTCAGTAGCATGTTAGATGAATTATGCTTCAGCATTAAGGGAAAGGGAAAAAAGTTAAAAATTAGAAATGCTTCTAAATTTTAAGACTATTTTTAAATCAAATCTATTAAGATTTTTTAAGTCATCTAAATTAATCCTAAAAATCTGAAGGCAGGATCTATAAATTAACAAGTCTCTCTCTTTTGTGTGATTTTTTTAATGGCTATTATTAAACACATTCAAAATCTAATTAAAAAAAAAGAAATCACAGTGACCTTTTAAAATTATACAAAATACCTAATTAAAAAACTATACCTAATTTTATAGCCAGAAGGCAAGAAAATAATTAGACAAGAATTAAAGACACATAAAAAGGGTTGGTAAACTCAAGTATCTTTCAAGTTTCATCGCCCATCTCTGTCCTGTGTCTCCATAATGTCCTTAAGTGCCCGACCCTGGGCCCTGGCCCAAGTGGCATCAGAAGCACTTGCAAATAAAGCAGGAAGAGCTTGCAAATCGTTATCTTCTTTCATGGGGGAGAGTGGGCAGCAGCTGTTAGACCAAGTTGAACTCCCTTAGGTTTAGCTGTAGAATTGTGTCTTTGACAGCTGCGAACACAAAGCGGATGTTCTCTGTGTCTGTGGCACATGTGAAGTGGGAATAGATGACTTTCTCTTTGTCAGGATTCTGGTCTTGATATAGCTTCAGGATAAAGTCTCTGGCAGCTTTGACATCCTGCTTTGGTCCTGGTCACAAGAGGAATAAAGAAAGACACAGACTCACCACCATGTCCTCCCAAGAGCCATTTTTATGTAGTTTCTGGGGGTTAAACTCAGGTCCTTATGCTTGCAATACAAGTGCTTTACTGACTAAGCCATTCCCCAGCCTCATAAACACTCTTAAAGTGTCTACTGATGTCTAAAACTTGTATGGGAAAGTAATTGGCCTAAAAAGAGTGGCCCAATTTTATTTTTTGCTCTGGACCACATTTGAAGAGAATACATATTAACTTGGTGAGAAAGGCATCTGTGGACCAGGAGAAGAAAAAGCATATGGAAATTAGGATAGTGAGTTGATTTTAAAGCTTGGCAGATCTAAACTACTGCCAGAGGAGAATGGCGAGAGCTGAAAAACCCCTGTAACTCTCAATGTCTAAATCATAATATTAGAGAGCTCTTAAACCAGGAATAATTAGCAACCAGGTAAGAAACCGCTGCCTGGAATAGGTTGTTTATATGAACAACTTCGACGCCTACCCCATGACTGAGAAGCAGATGCCACCTTCTAAGTCCACAAAGCACCAGCTGCTCTGACTGATTCTGGGGAGTTCACTAGGGAAAGCCGAATGAGTGAGCGGGCAAGTCTCCCCAGCAGAACGATGACCAGGCGCCAAAGCCACAGAAAGGAGGTGGCACGCCAATGCAGGTCCACAGAAACCAGCGGGGCAGAGAGGCTTCCTAGCAGAGGGGGCTGTCCTGGGGCCTGACAAGCCAAGTGGAGTCAACCAGAGGTGTTGGAGGTGCAGTTCAGGCAATGGCAGAGGCCAGCGTGGAGGTGCTTAGGCAAAAACATACACGAGTGCAGTGAGGGCTGTGGTTCTGAGTGAGGAAGGCTAGAGGCTGTGAGAGTAGGTGAGGGAAGTCCCTAAACGCCATGCTGAGGACTGGGGACTGATGCTGGGGGAGGCCGACGAGGTCTCCATGTAGGCACTGTCCCCAAAATGAATACTACCTGTGTATTCTGGGAAGTAGCTAATTAGATGAGAGTACATGATTTTCTCCTCCAAAAGATCCTTCTTGTTTAAGAACAGAATCACAGATGAGTTCAGAAACCAGGGATACGTGATGATGGTTTTAAACAAGGCTTTGCTCTCTTCCATACGATTCTAAATGAGAAACAAGGAAGTTAGGATGAGCCAGAAAGAAAAGCCACACCAGGGAAGCAACATACCAAGAGGCTGGGGCATCCTCCCCATCAAGTACCACTGCATGTGGGCCACTGACCACCAGATGCCATGTCAGCTTCAGACCTGCGGTGACTGGTTCACTTGGGTGTGGTCTTCTGAACTCCGCCTCAGGAATATGAGGGGATAGGAGGAAGGAAGACTTTTCAGGGAGGGCCACGGCCCTGAGCCCTTGGGCATGCAAGACTGGCCAGAAGGGAACTAACACTGCTGGATACCTATCCTGATCACACTGTACAGTGTCCCAATTTGATGGATGGGCATCTATTCCAAAAATCTAATAACTTTCCCAAGCCCATAAATGAAGCCCATATAGAAGCAGGTCTGGTGACAACTATGCTTACAGACAGTAATAATTTCTAAACATGACACGTTGCTAAGAAAATATTAAAAGCTCCCAAATTTGAGGGGGCAGATAATTCACACACAAATCGTATCTGGTGACAATAGTTGTTTTCATAACATTCTTCTCCCTCTCTGAAGTATTTCCAAGAGGAACAGAATAAGAACTTCCCCTTAGAGAAGAAAGCAGCCACAAACCAGCAAAAAAGGTCAACCTATGCCCCAGAGAGACATGCTATAAATCTCTGCTTCCTACATGCCCAGACACTGGGTCAGTCTCCTGCTTCCTGAAGACTGAGGTCTAGGAAGTGCTAGCAGAGAAGTAACTCCTGTTTTTAAAGCTTAGGATAGTACTCTCCAAGGAAATACATGAAAAAGTTACACACAGCATGGTGACACCCAGTACACAAGCTACAATGGGAAGGAAGTGTCAATAATTTTCTACAAATAGCTGTGATTTTTAGGAGAAGAGACAATATTTTATTTCTAAGAATATTGGACTGAGCTGTTAGTACCTGGAACACTTAACCTTTTGACGTTTCCGAGAAATATAACAAATAATTTCCAAGATAAATCCATAATTTTTTATATTGTTAACTATGTACCTGCTGTTGGGAGAACTGGGCAGCAGCCAGCTTGTTTTTTGTACAGTAGGCAGAGTAAATGGCACTCCTCAGAGAACACTTGCACTCAAGAAATATAGGATATGCCCTATCCTAGACAAAGTTCTGATGATTTACATTCGTGTTCTTGAAACGAGAGCCACTTTTCTAAAAAGCCAAGGCTTCTTGTGCAAATTCAAAGGAAAAGACAATGAGGAAAACATTTGTATCTTTCAGAAAATACACAAATCCTACCAAGTCACTAGGACAGTCCTTTTGCACTTCCGGGAAGATTTGGCTAATGGAACTAGATTCAGCCAATGCCATGAAAGAGACACAGTCTGGGCTGGACCAGCCCCAACTGCCCTGAGTGGTCCCTTGCAGGGGATCGAAGGGCAGACACGATCGCAGGCAGCCCCACAACTACTCTATACATCTGGCAAAACTGAGTAAAGGGTCCATTTCCTAACCTAGCTGGCTTCTTGAAAACTGAAAAACTGATCTGTCTTACAGCCACCCAACCTCCCCACCCAACATACCTCATTGTCACACTCAGCCAGGACCTGGTCATATTCACTCAGGGCAACCAAAAAAATGATGGAGGTGACACTCTCAAAGCAGTGAATCCATTTCCGTCGTTCAGATCGTTGGCCACCAACATCCACCATCCTGCTCAACAGAGAGACTGAAAGGTTGGAATGCACAAACCCAGGGAAAAGGCTGAAAGCCATTATACCACGGAGCCAAGGCTCTTTGGTGTCCTTAGTGGTTCTCAAAGGTCAGGGAGGTCTTGAGTTTAATGGCTTCCTTAGGTGGTAAAGGACTATGTGTGCTTTCCCAGTCAAAGACACAGACTGCAAAGGACTCATGGGAGAAAAGTGGCTGAAAACTCAACATCCAAGCAGAAACTCAAACACCCACTTGATGGTTGCTCCAACCACCCATGTAGAACCCTAGGACACCAGATCCAAAAGGGACAAAAGTGCCCCTACTTTCTTCTGGTCCTGGGTCTATTCATGGCTCATCTAATTTATCCACAGATCCTTTCTTAATTAGCTGAATGTCATCCCTCGACTTTACCTGTGTCTGGGGGAGATTTCAAGAAGTCACAGCCCAGGGATTGCAGGCTTGGATGCCCCTAGCAGTTATGAGTCAAGTGGGGCCCTGTCTAAAGTAATTACCATGACATCACTGCTGCCAGCCCACTGCTGCTAGACAAAATGCAGGCTCACTAGTACCAAGTCCCTGGACAGTTTAGAAAAATTAGATATCAAATACTCGGGGTGAACATCTCAGTTTTTAAATGTTATCTATACTTTTTTAATAACACTATAGCGACTATATGGGTCAGATACAACCCACAAGCTGCCAGGTCACACCCACAGCCCTCCACTGCACCACCCCACCCTACACATACTAATCCCTGGAGACTCCAAACCAGTGTGGTTAGGGAAGCCCATAGGCTCGCTGCTCCCTTATGACCATTTTCTATAAAAGTGCCCTTGAACCTGGTGCTGGGGGTTATAGGCATGCTTGCAGTGACAGATGCATACTATAGTGGAGAATGGAGCTGGGGATGAAAACAAATTATCAAAAGATTGGGCTTGAAGAAGCCATTTCACAAAGGCCTCAATTTCAAACATCAGAATTCATCTAAGATTGTACAGGGGAGGTGCCACAAGCCTAAAGATATCGCTGGCAGATGATGTTAAACCCAATCAATAGGCCCTAGGAAGCCAAAACCTGTTCATCGACATAAAGAGCTTATTAACCTTTTAAATAAAACAACACAAACTTTGGCAGGTTCTCATTCTGAGGTGTTTAGGAATTTGCAAGCAGCCCTTGACTCCAAAAAACGTTTCAATCCATAGGTTGGCACGGGGAGGGCTACCATAAAGTTGAGACCTGCTAACAAAGACGCTAAGACAGAGCTGTGATAAAACAGGGTGATCTGGGACAGCTGGCCCGTGTCGCACAGCCAGAAAAGTGCTTATAGGAATTGTTAAGAAGAACCAGGGACATAAGCAATACAAAAGTTCTTTGAAACTTTCAGTGCTTTGTTTATGTCCTGTGTTATTATCCCATTTTCCCACACAAAGTGCAGTAAAATCTAAGAGTATTTCTATATAAATAGAACGTCATAAGTTTTACACAGCTGTGAGTAGTTCATACATATTATAAAAGTTTACTTCACATTTTTGCATTCTTAGTTTTTTTTAAGGACAAATCTTAGACAATATAATAAAATCAGATAATGTTATTCAACATTATGGAAACGACATCAGTAGACTGTGTGGGTCACAGAAGTGTACATGGGTTGGTGACACGTAAAAATCTTCATCCCAATAGGAAAAGTCCCTCTCTATTGTGGAACTCAAGACTCACAATTCTGAAGTCCTGTGATGGAGATGGTGCTTCTGACCTAAGAACAGCCTGCTTAGGAGTAGCACAGTTAAGACTCCATCTGGGGACTTAGCCCTGGAGAAAGCCTTGAAGGACTTTGTCTGGGAGACAGGCTTACCGAAAGATGATATTTTCCAAGTCGAACGGATACTCGATGATACCAGTGGTAGGCACTCGAACACGGAGCACATCTTGCTGTGTTGGCACGAAAGAAGGCATGGCAATTCGGTCGATGTCAGTCAGGTAACTGCAATATTAAAGAGTGAGATGATAAGACCTTTTTTGTGAAGGATGAACATCCACGCTGCTCAAGGAAAGTCATCCCTAACCACAGGGCCCCCACAGGATGTGGACACCATCATCCAGAATGGACAGTGGCCAGCCTCTTTACCCCCTACAACTGTTCTGAAGGAATCAGGCGAGAAGCACTTCCTTGAGCCTTCTGAGACTGAAGGTCACTCCATCCAGGTTCTCAGCTCCATCACTTCACGTCTATGTGACTGTGAAGAAAGCAGCAGGCCTAGAAGCCTAGGAGGTGGGAGATGGCCATGATGCCTCCCCAAAGGACCTGCCCTCTTGCCCTCCCAAGAATGTTACACAATACAGACACTTCTCTGAAGATTCTGCCCAATGGATTAAGTGGAGTTTCTAAGGAAATATACAGTTGTCAAGTAGGCCGTGGAAAAATTCTTTCAAAATAACAAGATAAAATTTTTCTGTTACACACACTGGGAAATGCAACATCTACAATAATACAAAACTTGTCTTACATTATTTTAGGCTGTATACTAAAGCCCTGAGTTGCAAGCATCTCTTTTTTACTTCCAGTAGTGAAATGAAAGAATGCCTTTTGGAAAACACTTTGGGGAGCTGCAGAGGTGGTTCAGCATTGATTGCTCTTGCAGAGGACCTGGGTTCAGTTCCAAGCACCCAGAAGGTGGCTAACAACTGTCTGTAACTCCAGTTCCAGGGGAACCAGCACCCTCTTCTGGCTTCTGTGGGTACTGCATGACACTAGCACACTTACATACTTGCAGGCCAAACACAAACATAAAATTAAAAATAAAACCACTTTCGGCCCCGGATGTAACATAGATGTTAGAGTGCTTGCCTAGAATACACAAAGCCCTGGGAGCGATCCACTGCATAAAGTAGATGTGGTAGCACAAACCTGTAATTCCAGCACCCAGGAGGTGGAAGCAGGAGGATCAAGGTCATCCTCAGCTACATAGAGAGTTTAAGGCCACCTTGAGATTGAGACTCTATCTCAAAAAGTTAATTACTTACTTAAAGAGGCCCTTGACAGCAATGAATTTGGTGGCTCTGAGTCCCTGCATAGCAGTGGTGGCTCTGCCTTCTCCAGCACAGCCTGGATGCCTGGGGCTCAGCAGGTCAGCCTGGAGGTGGGTGGATCTCACAAATTTCAGCTCAGAAAGCTGGGCACTGGAGCAGCGTCTGCACCTACTCTCATGCATCACTTTCTACTGTGCTGCAGTCCCTCTCCCCACACCCAGTGTTGCACTGTCCACAGTTTCAGCACACCCAGTGTTGCACTGTCCACAGTTTCAGCACACCCTCATGATGGTAGGAAAGTACGCTGGTTCAGCCATAGTGTTCTCAGTGGACAACCAGGAAGCTCAAGTTTGATTCCCAGCTGATGAACTACCTGAAACTTAATTTTCTTCTCTGTGAAATCACATACCCATGGTCACTTGTGGTTCAAAAGTAATAAATGGAAAATAGAAATAAACAATTCATATCCATTTTTTTGGTCTTTTTGAGACGGGGTCTCCCTGTAGCCCCAGCTGTCCTGGAACTCACTATGTAGACCAGGCTGGCCTTGAACTCACAGAGATCCACCTGCCTCTGCCTCCCGAGTGCTGGGATTAAAGGCGTGTGCCACCACGCCTAGCACAATTCA